TGGTGTGGGTCTGGAGAGGCAGTGGGAGGATGCTATGGGTCTGGAGAGGCAGTGGGAGGATGCTATGGGTCTGGAGAGGCAGTGGGAGGATGCTCTGGGCCTAGGGAGGCAGTGGGAGGATGCTGTAGGTCTGGAGAGGCAATGGGGAGATGCTGAGGGTCTGGAGAGGCAGTGGAGGGATGGTGTGGGGCTAGAGAGGCAGTGGGGGATGCTGTGGGTCAGGAGAGGCAATGGGAGGATGCTGTGGACCTAGGGAGGCAGTGGGAGGATGCTGTGGGGCTAGAGAGGCTGGGAGGCATTGGGGGGATGGTGTGGGTCTGGAGAGGCAGTGGGGGGATGCTGTGGGGCTGGAGAGGCTGGGAGGCAGTGGGGGGATGGTGTGGGTCTGGAGAGGCAGTGGGAGGATGCTATGGGTCTGGAGAGGCAGTGGGAGGATGCTATGGGTCTGGAGAGGCAGTGGGAGGATGCTCTGGGCCTAGGGAGGCAGTGGGAGGATGCTGTAGGTCTGGAGAGGCAATGGGGAGATGCTGAGGGTCTGGAGAGGCAGTGGAGGGATGGTGTGGGGCTAGAGAGGCAGTGGGGGATGCTGTGGGTCAGGAGAGGCAATGGGAGGATGCTGTGGACCTAGGGAGGCAGTGGGAGGATGCTGTGGGGCTAGAGAGGCTGGGAGGCATTGGGGGGATGCTGAGGGTCTGGAGAGGCAACGGGGGATGCTATGGGTCTGGAGAGGCAATGGGAGGATGCTGAGGGTATGGAGAGGCAACGGGGGATGCTGTGGGGCTGGAGAGGCATTGGGGGGATGCTGTGGGTCTGGAGAGGCATTGGGGGGATGCTGTGGGTCTGGAGAGGCAGTGGGGCGATGCTGTGGGCCTGGGGGTGCTATAGGGTTGGGGGGGGGATGCTGTGAGGCCGGGGGGTCCCGGGGGTTATGGGGCTGGGTGCAGTGGGGCTGAATAGCTTTTTGCTGTTGGAATGGGCAGCCTTGGCGTGATGGGGCTGGGTGCCAGAGAAGGTCTTGGCGCTGTGGGGCTGGGCGCTGCTGAAGCGGGGAGCTGGGTGCCACAGGAGGGTGCCACAGGGCTGGGGACCGGCGGCTGCAGCAGGGCCCTGGCCCTGGCTGGGACTGGGGTAGGGACAGATCTGAGGTTCCCCCTGCCATGACGTTGCCTGTGCCGGTGGATCCCATCCCATCCCATCCCATCCCATGGGCTCAGTGCCCCGCTGGGGTGTGGGGAGGTCCATGGGCAGGGTGAGGGATGGACCCCAGCCTCTCTGCTGGAGCCTCTCCCTGTGGCTGTGCTGCTGCCTGCAGGCAGAGGGGGGGTCCTGCCCTGTCCCTGGCAGTGTGGGCAGCCTGCCCACCCCCCTCAGCCTGCCCGCCCCCCTCAGCCCAGCAGCCACCAGCTGTCATAGGTGAAGGAACCTCTTTGGTTGGCACTGGCAGCCTCAGGCAGGGGAGAGCCAGCTGGGCGAGGAGGTGCTGTTTTTTTGGAGAGGACCCCAAGACCTGCTGCTGGCAGCGTTTTGTCTCTTACCGCCCCGACAGCGTGGGGCTGGGTGCCACCCGGAGGCTGCACAGCTGGAAATTGTTATTCTGCTTTGTAGCTGGTGGAGGAAAAGCCTTTGGCAGAGTGAAGGGGAAATGTGGGGAAGGGGGTGGCACTGGGGTTTGCACGTCCCACCTCCCCCTTACCAGGGTCTGGGTTACAGGACACCTGGGCAGGAACCAGGGGCTGGGCTGGTGGGTCTGGTCTCCCTGTGTCCAGCTGCTGCCAGCCTTGGGGTGAGCCCCAAACTGGTCTGGCAGGGCAGAGAGGAACCCCTGGCTCTGGCCAGCCCATCTCTGGACACTGCAGCTCCTGCCCTTACCCTCCCGAGGGCTGTGCAGTGGGTAGAGCAGCACGGAGAGCCAGTCCTCACGGGAGGGACTCTGTGGTGTGGCACCACTGCCTGGCACCGTGCCGAGCCCAGCACTTGGCTCAGGTTCAGAACGTGCCTTGGCAGGACCCCGAGGCAGCCTCGCTGCTTAATATTGATGGGCACTGCCTGCGTGGAGGCCTGGGGGCCTCAGCCCTGCAGATCGTTTTCCTGGCTGCTGGGCCGGCTCGGGTTCCTCCTTGCTCCCAGGGCAGCTCTGGGGTGGGACGAGGGGCTCGGGGGGCAGGGGAGGTGCTGCACCCCATCGCCTGGGCCTGGGGCTGCCTCTGGGCTGCTCCTTAGCTGCTGTGTGGCATTGTCTGCCGTGGATCCAGGCGAGGGGAAGGAGGAAGTGTCAGGACTCGGAGTGGGGCTGTGAGGTTGGGGAAGGTGCAGGGTGGCCTCTGCAGCTTGGTCCAAAGGTTGAGGTGAAGGGAAGCAGCATCCAGGCCCTGCTTTTTGGGAATGAGAAGGGACTAGGGGAGGAGGGGTAATCCTGGCCCAGCTCCCCCGCACGCATCTGGTGTGGATTCCCCCGTACCCGAACCTGTCGGGAAAGACTGTGTCTGGGATCGTCCCTGGAACTGGCCCAGCATCCTGGATGCTCCTACCTTCTCTGGTTTCCTCTGAGTCAGACTCTCCGTGTCGCTCCCCCGGCCCCCTCCCCGCCGGGGAAAGACGAGATGGGTCCGGAGAGCATCCGAGCCCAGACGCCAAGGGGTCTGTGCCCCCTGCTCCGTGCAGAGAGCCGTCCCAGCCACAGTGGCCCCACGGCCTCCAGGAGCCTGAGCTCAGCTCCCCCTGCTCTGCGTCCCGTGCAGGGCGAAGGAGAGGCCACTGCGCTGCTGTACGGGCGGGTGTCCTGCAGACTCAGTGCCAGGAGCTGCACGACCACCATCAGCAGGTCTGGGACAGCCGGGCAGCGGGGCGGCCTGCCCACGCTGAGCTCCTCTTCCCCCCAGGCGCGGCACGGCAGGGATGAGGAGCCGGCAGCGGATGTTTGCCGCGGTGATGCGCCTGCTCCTCAAGTGCCTGCGGCTGGGCCGGCGGCGGCGGTTTAAGCTGTTGCGGCAGGCGGAGCAGCTGTGGCACTACGGGCACCTCTGCCTCCGCTCCCTGCTCTACAACTCCTTCACCAACGGCGACGTGGTGCTCGACTCCCTCTTTGAGCCCGTCTACTGGCTGGTGGACCACGTCACCCGGTGGTTTGGTGTGGTGAGTAGCCTCAGCGGGCAGGGGGGCACCCGGCTCAGGGGCTGGGGCAGGTGTGCTGCTGGGACAACTGAGTCTCGGAGCCGCCTGTTCTCTGGGCAGGAAGGGATGGGGACCTCAGGCTGTGGTTCAGATTGTTTTCCTATGGCTGTGTCCTGCCCGTGCCTCTCCCAAGGCAGCGAGGGGCGGGTGCTGCCTGCTTTGGTGACCCAAGCCCCTTTCCTGTAGGTGTTTGTGGCACTGGTGATCGGGCTGACGAGCTCCATCGTTGCCATCGTGTACATCTGCCTGCTGCCCCTCATCCTGCAGACCTACACACCAGCCTGGATCTGCTGGCACCTCGCCTACGGACACTGGAACCTCATCATGATTGTCTTCCACTACTACATGGCCATCACCACCTCACCAGGGCACCCACCGCAGGTGAGGCATTGACCAGCAGTCCAGCCTCTCCCAGTTGGGCACTGGGGACCAGCTGCAGACAGTCACTGGGAACAGCTAAACCAGTCTGGTGGTGTAGTCACAGGAGTCCTCCTCCAGACTGGGGCAGCGATGCTGGGCAGTGAGGGAAGGGGAGGTGGGGGGGTCCCAGGGGAGGTGAGGAGCGTGGGGAGCAGGGCTGGGGTGCACCAATCTCTTCTGACCTGTGCGCAGGCCAAGGACGATCTCACCGGCGTCTCCATCTGCAGGAAATGCATCGCCCCCAAGCCAGCTCGCACCCACCACTGCAGCATCTGCAACAGGTAGGGCTCCCTCCCTCTGTCCCACCACAGCGCCGGGGGCAGCCTCTGGGACCCCTCTCCTTGCCCCCTGCTGCACTCTGAGACTGGGGTCCCTTCCCCTGTGCTCTGCTGGCTTTTTGCCTCACTCCTCGCGCAGCCCGCGGGGCCGGGGGGGCTGACTGCCCCCTCCCGAACACGGTGCTTGCGCTAACCCTGGCGCTGCTCTCCTCCCTCCCAGGTGTGTGCTGAAGATGGACCATCACTGCCGTATCCTTCTGCTGTACTAACCCGGGGGGAACCGGCCCTGCTTCCCCCCCTTCTCTCCCTGACCTGCTCCTCTCCCGGGTCATGGGGACGGGTGCTGAGCCCAGAAGAACCGCCCTGGTCCCTGGGGTGGGGTTGGACCCATGGTCTATCACGGTTACATGCCTTTACCCCCAGAGGCAGCCTGGCTAAACAACTGTGTGGGACACTACAACCATCGCTACTTCTTCTCTTTCTGCCTCTTCATGACCATGGGCTGCATCTACTGCAGCATCAGCGGCTGGGAGATGTTCCGCGACGCCTACGCGGCCATCGAGGTGAGAGCAGGCTCCAGCCCTCGCCCCGCCGCGCACCGAGGCTGCCTGGGCTCCCCAGGCTGAGCTTGCAGAACAAGGTTGAGGCCAGGCCTGGCCTTGGAGTGACTTTGCTTCCCCTCTCCCTCCTCCTGCGAAGCCCCCAGCTGCCCTGGTCCTGTGTAGAGGTGGGGGTGTGAGTGGGAATGGCCCCCTTCTGTGAGACACGTAACTGGTGCCCTGTTTTCCATCCCCCTAGAGAATGAAACTGCTTGAGAAGGAGAGACTGCAGGTGGCTGCCAACCAGGTGGGACATCCCTGCCCCCAGCTGCTCCAGGCAGAGCGGAGCAGAGCTGCGTCCCGCTCGGGGCCCCGCTCCAGAGGAGCGTCCCGCAGCCAGAACCAGCCCCCATCCTCCTCTCCTGGGGGAGAGCCGGGGCTGGCCGGGCAGCTCTGCTACGGGCACTGCCTCCAGCAGCTCGGGGTTTGCTCCCCTGCACGCCCAGCTTCCAGAGGCTTTGGCTGGTGGCAGCTGCTTGGCATGTGCTGCCCAGGCCCTGCTCTCCTGGGGAAGCTGCGGCAGCGCGTCCGTGTCTCACCGTGAGCACCCGCTGCGGTGCAGTGTCCTGACCGGTCCCACAGCTGCTCCCTGCCCCCTTACCTCCACCCCATGGCTTCTCCCCCGTGTGCCCGCTCGCAGGTGTCTGTCTGTCTCCTGGCTGTCTCAGGCTGCCTCCCCATCGCCCTGGCTGTTGTGTTGGTTCCAGCCACGGTCCTTTCTAGCTGCCCAAGCTCTGCATCAGTGCAGCAGTCCCCCTGTCTGGCTCTAAGCTACAAAGCAGCTTCAGTAATTCCACCCCACTCTCTGGCCCTTTTTCAGACATACTACCAGACCCCACCACCCACCTTCACCTTCCGCCAGCGAGCTTTCCACAAGAGCGTGGTCTACCTCTGGGTACTGTGCAGGTAAGGGGGCCCAGAGCCTGGGAGCAGCTCACCCCCTGCTTCCCCAGGGCTGGGCTGGCTTGCTCTTGGACACAGATGAACCTGCCAGCTCTTGGGCCACACAGGAGAGATTTTGGAGCTCTGTCACAGGGGATTGGATGAGCTGACCCACCTACACAGCTGGGGGTCATAGAATCATAGAACGATTAGAGTTGGAAGGGACCTTAAAGATCATCCAGTTCCAACCCCCTGCCCTGGACAGGGACACCTCCCACCACACCAGGTTGCTCCAAGCCCCATCCAGCCTGGCCTTGAACCCCTCCAGGGATGGGGCCGCCACAGCTTCTCTGGGCAACCTGGGCCAGGCTCTCACCACCCTCACAGTGAAAAATGTCTTCCCGACACCTAATCTAAATCTCCCCTTTTTCAGTTTGAAGCCATTCCCCCTCATCCTATTGCTCCACACCCTTCTATAAAGTCCCTCCCCAGGTGCAGAGAGGCAGCCTCAGCCCCCACAGCTGTGTGGCACCAGGCGAGGAAGGCCTGTGTGCAACCTGCTGTTGCTTCTGTCCCCAGCTCAGTTGCGTTGGCACTGGGTGCCCTCACGCTGTGGCACGCGGCCCTCATCACCCGCGGGGAAACCAGCATCGAGCGGCACATCAACAAGAAGGAGAGGCAGAGGCTGCAGAAGAAAGGCAAGGTGAGCACAGCCCGCGGGGCGGGAGGGAGGGCTGCCCGGGGCAGAGCCAGGCATGATGTGCATCTCCCCGGCCTGCAGGTCTTCAGGAACCCCTACAGTTACGGTGGCTGGGATAACTGGAAGGTGTTCCTCGGTGTGGACGTGCCAAGGTAAAGCCCCAGGGAAGCCCCTGGCCAGGAAGGTGGTGGCTCAGCAGCAGGTGGGGGTGCTGGGACATTGGGGCAGAGCAGGAGAGTGAGTGTCCCAGGACACTGGGGCAGAGCAGGAGAGTGAGTGTCCCATACTCTGTGCTGCTCCTGGCTTTGCAAGGCACAGAGAACCTGGGCATCAGCTGCCTTGTGGCTCCTCAGCCCTGCCCCATGGCAAGCTCTGGGCTACACAGTACCCCTTTGCCAAGGGAGTCCCAGCTGAGGAGCTTGGTCATGGTGGCACCTTAGGGACACAGCCCTGACTCTGGAGAGCCCAGAAGCACCAAGCGCGTCAACTTTTTTTGCTTTGTCCTCGCTCCTCTCCCCACAGGCACTGGCTCACCCGCGTCCTGCTGCCCTCTCCTCACCTGCCCCACGGCACAGGCCTGAGCTGGGACCTGCCCCCCTGCGTGACCAAGCAGCGCACCCCACTCCTGGCCATCTGAAACCCCGGGTGCTGCAGGTGTCCCTCCCCGCAGGCTGGGGAGCGCACGGGGACCCAGCTCCACCACTGTGGCTCCCACTGGCCCAAGTGCCTGGCAGAAGAGGGGTGCTGGCACACAGTGCTGACCGGAGCCAGAGCCATGGGAGACTGTTTGGACAGTTGTCAGTGCCTGGCTGCCTGCTCCCTTGGCTCCGTGGGGGCTGCAGGCAGTCCCGGGGGACAGGCAGAGCTGCTGCTCCCCGCTCCAGCCGAAGGTGCTGCCCTCGCTGGCACAGGTACGGCCCCGCTCGCAGCCCAGCTGGCTCTCTGCAGCAGGGCTGGGCACACAGGATGGCACCCCTGCCCCCACGCACTCCCCAGGGAGCCTTTTTAAGACCATCCAATAAATATTTTTTTTTTTAAGGGAGCGTGGCTCTTTTCAACTCGAGTATCGGTTAGGGGTGGATCTGCTGGAAAGCACTTCTGAGGAGAAGGATCTGGGGGTCCTGGTGGACAGAAAACTCTCCATGAGCCAGCAATGGGCCCTTGTGGCCAAGAGGCCAATGGGATCCTGGGCTGCGTAGGGAAGAGTGTGGCCAGGAGGTGGAGGGAGGTCATTCTCCCCCTCTGCTCTGCACTGGGGAGGCCACAACTGGAATCCTGCATCCAGTGCTGGGCTCCCCAGTTCAAGAGAGACAGGGAACTGCTGGAGAGAGTCCAGCGTAGGGCAACAGAGATGCTGGAGGGGTTGGAGCATCTCCCTGATGAGGAAAGACTGAGAGAGCTGGGGCTCTTCAGCCTGGAGAAGAGAAGGCTGAGGGGAGACCTTATCAATGCTGACAAGTATCTAAAGGGTGGGTTGAAGGAGGATG